TCAACACCAAGTTTAATTCATTCAACATTAACTCAAAATGAAATAACATATTAATAACATCATTAGAAAATCATCAAAGGGTTTTAGGAAACTTTCAAAAATCATCAAACAACAACAACAACCAATACACTGTAAATGAGAAGAAAATAATAATCAACGAACCTTGTGAAGAGAGGGACGACTCGTGGGCGGCGATGACAGTTGACGATGGTGGCTACCGTGAAAAATCGCTTTGGACGAAGAACAGGAACAGGAACGGGAACGAAAGGGTTTGGAAGAGAGGAAACACAAAAGCCAGTACGAACACACAACACAGCTTTAATCAAAAACATTAAAATTTATTATAAAACAACCTACGAAAGCGCTTTTAAAAGCGCTTTCTAATGGTCAGGTATAACAGCGCTTTTTCATAAAAAAGCGCTTTCGTAGCATACCCTATAGCAGCGCTTTTAAAAGCGCTTTCTAAAGACCAGATTTAGCAGCGCTTTTGAAAAGCGCTCTCTAAGGCTGCCCTTTAGCAGCGCTTTTGAAAAGCGCTTTCTTAGGTTCCCTCTGAAAGGCACCCTTTAGCAGCGCTTCTCAAAAAGCGCTTTCTAAGGGTGACCTTTAGCAGCGCTTTTGAAAAGCGCTTTCTTAAGGTACCCTTTGAAAGCGCTTTTTTTAAGCGAATTTTTTTAATACCTACAGCAGCGCTTTTTCCTAAAAGCGCTTTCGTATGTGTGATGCTAAAGCTTATTTTTGGCGTAGTGTTGCTCCAATGACTCTTCCACTCTTTCTTCTTTTTGAAGATCCATGGAGTCTTTTGTTGTTCCACCACAGCTCTTTTGTTTTGTACGGGATAATTTAAACAATGGTACTAATCCTTTTTATAGAATTATTAGTCTTTAATTGAAAAATTTGTTCCTTTGACAAAATTTAATGCTAAACATTTTTCTATGTAATATTGGAATATAATTTGAAGTGAGTGTGAAGTGAGTTATTACATATATTAAATTTTCATGGGAATAGGAATACGTATTAAGAAAGAGAATTTTATGGAAAATGTGAAGTGAGTTATTACATATATTAAGAAAGGAAAATTTTATAAAATATAAAGTGGACTTATTTAAAAAGTAAGGGTATAATTGGTAAATTGTAACCTTAAAACATCAAAACGACACTTAAATAGAAACAAAAAAAAACTTCTAAAACGACACTTAAAAAGAAACGGAGGGAGTATTTTCTTATATGATAGATAATGATTATTAGGGTTAATATTTTTAGTATCTGTTTTACCCTCAAAAAAGAAGTAATTGACCAATAAAAAAAAAACTTGATTGTCTTTTCCAGAACATATTATTTTTTTATATGATAGATTCTTATTATTCAAACCATTTTCCTTTTCAAAAATTAGCAAATCAAACAAATTGACATTAACAATACATTTTAATTGGTGAATTAGATCAATCCATTTGTATGGAACAACATCTAGGCTTCAACAAAGGATCAACAAAAATTACATTTTGCAAACTTCAAAAACCTCTCCACATGGGTTAAAACAAGCTCTTAGAGTTTGTTTTCAAAAGCTTTCGTCTTTCCTCGCAGAATTAGGTTTTCATTCCACAAAAAGTGACACTCTAAGTCATTCATTTTTAAGTAACTCATCTACAATCATAAACACTCTAATGCATTCTCTCTATAAACATTTATTTCAAAAAGACATACCTAATTTTCATTACTTCCTTAGTATTCAGGTTCAAAAACTCTCCTCAAATCTCTTTACATAACTCAATCCAAATATAGTAATGACATTCTTCACAATCTAATATAATTGATGTTATCCCCATGCTTACACCCATGGTATTTAATACAAAAATATCTTTGCATGATATTCTAGGTTTTGATGATCCTTCACTTTATATATCAACTGTTAGTGGCCTTCATTATGTTACCATAACCAGACCTCATATTGCCTTTGCAATCAACAAAATTTATCAATTCATGCACTCACCAAAAGAATCACATTAGAAAGTTGTTAAACACATCCTTAGATACCTTCAAACCACATAAATTTATGGATTAATTATTCCTTCACCAAAAACTTTCAATATCACAATCCTTTGTGATTCAGATTTGGAGTCCAAACCATGACGAAAGACGATCTACCATGGGGTATTATGTTTTGGCTAACAATCTAGTTTATTAATCATCTAAATATCAACATGTGGTCTCAAGATTTAGTACAAAAATAAAATATTGAAGCCTTGCAACAATTTCATCATAAGTATAAGTAGTATGACTTCAATCTCTTTTACATGAACTAAGTCTCAAACCATCCCAACCAACTATATTTTATAATGACAACATTAGTTCAGTCTTACTTGCTTTAAATCCAATTCTTCATATATTATATTATCGTACCAAGCATTTTCAATTGAATCGTTCCTTTGTTTGAGAAAAGATTCGATTTAAAGCTGTCAAAGTCCTTTATATACCATAAACAAATCAAACAACTGGTATTCTGAATAAACTAACATCTATTTCAACATTTCTCAAGTTTAGAACCACACTCAAAGTTCACAATTCTGTACATGAGAAATGTTATCAATATTTTTTTTCAACATTTATTTTTTTTATTGGTTGAAACACATATGAATCCTACTACTTTATGTGAGACTCAACTTCAAAATAAGAGACCCATATATATTTCATACAATAAAAAAATAAATGTTAAAAATAGTGTAGAAAAAAATGTTACTAGCTATATTCTTCTCGTGAGTTTGGAATGAGGTGTGATAGATTTGAATATAAGAAGTCTTAATAATTAGTTAACTAAATCTAAGTTAATTAAGCATTTCTTTTAATTCTTTCATAAGACCGTTAAATCATACACTCACTGCCTCCCTTCTTTTCTTGGGTTACAAACAATCACAGAGTGATTACTCTTTGTTTGTAAAATCACATGCTGGTCATTTAACAGTTTTGCTCATCTATGTAGATGATATTGTCCTCACAGGTGATGATCTGGAAGAAATCGCAAGTGTTAAACAATTTCTGGATGATAAATTCAAGATCAAGGATTTAGGGGATCTCAGATATTTTCTTGGTTTTGAAGTAGCAAGGTCCAAACAAGGCTTGGTGATTTCACAGAGAAAGTATGCCTTGGAGCTCATTGAAGATGCATGTTTACTTGCTAGTCAGCCTGCCTGTACTCCAATGCTTCCTGGTTCTAAGTTTCCAGCCATCACAGATAATCCATTTCCTGATATTGAGGCTTATAGAAGACTCATTGGCAGGCTTTTGTACCTCACTAACACAAGGCCTGATCTGTCATTTGCAGTGAGCACTTTAAGCCAATTTTTGTCTAAACCAATGAGAGAATATCATGATGCCGCTTTGAGAGTTCTTAGGTACCTCAAACAGCAGCCAGGACAGGGTTTGTTCTTTCCCTCAGAATCTTCACATAAAATCACAAGTTTTTGTGATTCAGATTGGGCTTCATGTGTTGATACTAGGACGTCCATCACAGGTTACAATGTGTTCTATGGAGCTTCTTTGATTAGTTGGAAGTCTAAGAAGCAAAGCACAATCTCCAGATCATCTTCTGAAGCTGAGTATCGGGCCATAACAACCACAGCTTGTGAAATTCAGTGGTTATTGTACCTTCTCAAGGATCTTTATCAACCAATCCAGCAGCCTGTAGCTTTGTTCTGTGATAATTTGTCTGCCATTCACATTGCTCAAAATCCAACATTTCATGAAAGGACAACGCATATTGAGATTGATTGTCATTTGGTTCGAGATAAGATACAACAAGGCATTCTTAAACTTATGCCTATTTCGACACATGCTCAGTTAGCAGATCTGCACACAAAGGCTCTTCATAGTCCTCAGTTTCAGCTTATATTATCCAAGCTTAGTCTAAAAAATTTGTACATACATGCCTAAGCTTGAGGGAGGGTATTGAATTTACTTGTATAATTGTTGTTTAGTTTGTTAAAGGCAGTTAGAAGTTAGTTAGTTAGTTATTGATTCAGTTAGTTAGTTAACCTGTATATAACTACATAATGTATCACTCTTCCATTCATAAAATGAGAATGAGAGCTTATTTACTTCTGAGTTTCTACAAATTCTACAGCCACATTACTCGATTTGCTATATATTAAGCATTGTAAGTGGTTTATGAGTCATTCAATCCAGTGGCGGAGCCAGAAAAATTATGAAGCCTGGGCAAGTTTTCATTGACTTCATAATTTTCTACTAAGACAGTACAATGCTAATCCCAAAGGAATTATTTCCTTGAATTGCAATTGCCTCTTCAATTTGTAAGATTTCGGATTTTATAATATATACATGTTAAGATTTCGGATTCTATAATATATACATGTTACAATATTTCAGGTGTGCTCACAAAATGAACAAACCTATAAAAGTCGAGAAAATTAGTTCAACACGCTCATTTGTGTGAAATTAAGTACTGCCTAAAAACACCGCTATCAATTCAAATTCCAAATAATGTTGTCAAATGCAGATCGGCGAAATGGTGATTTTTTAAAATTCCGGTATGCTACAATGTTGTAGAGCCACTATTTGAGAACACATTGTACTAAGTAGCATAACAAAAAACAATAGGGATGTGATCAAATTCCGCTACACTATAGTACAATAGCTATAACTGCTATTTAACAACAATGATTCCAAGATATCCCAATCTAATTTATCAACAAATAAAAAATTATGATAACAAGCCATACCTTTTAATAGTTCTTCTGGAAAACCATGTGGCATCGCTTTCGTGCTCAGGCAGTATCTGGGACTGTTGCCACAAGCAGAAAATAAAAACTGGCACTTTCTCCAGTGAGTATTAAAGGGTTCAAAGTAATTATCAGTGTGGTTTTCCAGTCCAGAACTTGAACATAATTTAGAAACATAATATGGCCAATCTTGCAACTTTGCAAAGTGAGAATTGACAGAATGAATTTGACTTGTATTCATTTTTTCTATGATAATATTTACATATCTCATCCGAATTGATTTACATCCACGGTTCTGTCAATAGCTTTCTGAGCTTCGCCCCTTATGGATATAAGGTTCTTTTTTATCTCTTTACAAAGTCTACCCTCTATGAGCCCAACGGGCAACCACATCTTCGGCTTAACATCAACAATGTACGAAAGTGTTGTGCTAATCTCTCGTACTGGAGACTCGTCACTTCCACTGCTGAACAACTGCAAAACCATCATTATCTAGGAAGTTAGCACTGGATTTGTGCCAACCTAGTTGAATACATGGTTTCAAAATCTCACAAACTTATGATCTTTCGAAACAAAGTCATTGATCATTTTTAGTATATATGATTTTTATGCCGGATCCAGAAGAATTCAAACAAGAAAGGAAGGGAAAAAATCGTACCTGTGAAATAGACCATTTTCCTTCAAAGAGTTGAAAATCCCCTTCAATCATCTTGAAGTCTATGTCACGCTTGATACCGGATGGAAGAGTCTCCAATTCTTTCTCGTAACAATCTATAACACCTTTGGCATCAAATTTTAGCCCAAATGCCAAGTTCTGCTCTCCAATCTGTTGAGATGAAAATGGGTCAGCAAAAAAACCAAATTGATGAACAAGAAAAAACATAGAAAGGATAAAAGTTTTAAGTGAAGGGGAAAATAAAAGCATGGTGTGAAGAAATAACCTGCAAAAGTCAAGCAAAAGAGGGAGCTTTTTGTATCAATTTACTAAGAGCAAGGCCAGGAATAAAATCCGGCAGCCTCTCATAATCAGTTAAAATATCCCAAACGGAGTCAAGTGTAGCGTCGATTGAAATCCTAGACTCGATTCTGCGTGAATTCTTCTCAAGCTTGGTCACCTCTATGAAAACCCCATCCTCAACCAACGAGTCTGGTTCTTGAATTTCGTTATCCTCTGTGGCCAACAAATTCCCAGAATCGTCGTCGTCATCGTCGACTATGAAAGTGATTCGAGACGGCCGAGTCTGGACAGCTGCCCTAGTTGGCCGGACGCTGACTCCGCCAGTGATTCAATCAAATCAATAATAAAAGGTGAATTTTTATTTATCCAATAAAAAATTGAGTACAACTACTCTTAAAAGTAAAATGCTTTGAAATGAATGAATAATTAAATAATAAATACTCCGTATTAAAGTAATTTGCCCAATAATCATTATTACATTCCTAACCAAATCCGAAATTTGAAAATTAGGATCTCGTGTAACACGAAATTAGCTGTGGGACATTGGTTGGTTTCTTTAACGGTGGATATTCAAAACGTGTGGTCCAATAACAGAAGAAAATAAACTAGTAAACATATCACATGTATGTCTGTCTATTTTTCAATTTTCCAAAACCAAAACAAACTGAGTTTAAATGGCAAATAAATTTCATTTAAAATTAAACAATTTAAAAAAAAAATCTGACTTTGGATTTTAAATAGTATTTAAATTTATAGAAGGAACATTCCACGAAAAACGAAAGAGTTAACTTTTAAAAAATAATTTTTTTTTTTTTTTTTCGTTTTATAGGAGACCGTACCCAACCGCACACTCATTCGAGGAATCAGTAGTTAGAAAAATGGTGAGAAAAGGTACATGGACTCCTGAAGAAGACAACAAGTTAATTGCTTATGTAACTAGATATGGCTCTTGGAATTGGCGACAACTACCTAAATTTGCAGGTATATATGAATACGTTATTTATTCATGTGTGTCGGTTGGAGTTTTTCTTCTAGTTTATGTGCTATCTTGGAATAATGTTTTCAGGTCTTGAAAGGTGTGGGAAGAGTTGTAGACTAAGGTGGTTGAACTATCTAAGACCAGATGTCAAAAGAGGAAACTTTACACAACAAGAAGAAGATACTATCATCAAACTTCATCAAAAACTTGGTAATAGGTACATGAACTTCTCAATGCTCTATCACTTCCTAATGTAGCTTAAACTCAACACATTTATTTTCAAACAGATTGAATAAAATAACATATATCAGTCTCTGTTGGAACTCTCTTTCCTACATTTAAGGAAACATTTTTACATCATATCTTATTCTCACAAAAGTTAAATCGACACTTTTCTACATCTATACCGTACATAAGCATGGTTTTCAATTTTTAATTATTACCTTCTATATTTTTTAATTAAGACAAAGGTTTATAAGAACTCTCATAGTTAGCCGCTTTCACTTGTTACAAGCTGCTAACTTGTAACAACAAATAAGATAATAGAAAAATACTCAAATATTATACGATGATTTACACCTCATCTCTCTAGGTCATTAAGATTGTTAAAATACATCTCAAATATTAGATGATGATTTACACCTCATCTCTCTATATCATTATTGCAAATTGCCTAAACGCGCCACTTATTATTTAGAAATAGAAATACATCAATTCATTCTGAGACCCCTCGTGACTCAATAGTTGTAATAGAGTCTGATTTGGCCAGACTTATTATATCAAAAGTCTTCTTGATCAAGGTGTTCAGGTGGCGTGTTTTAAAAACCAACAATGGCAATGCAAGTAAATATGGAAGAAAAAACTTCCATTCGAGTGAGAGCATATCTTTGAGAATTGATGGACTCACATTTAACAATGAGGTTGTTGGTACATTAAGTTTAAGTATGAGGCTCACATTGAAAGAAAAAACGAATATTGAAAATTTTATAAATGAGAAGATCTATAAACCTAATACCTTAAGATTTTATATAAAAATGTTTCAACATGTTGCACTAATAATATAGATTGAGGAATGTTTGAAATGCACAATTGATCATTTGAAGTGAGTGTTACAAGTTCAATGTGATGATCTCTGGACTCCTTCGTGATCCAACATGTTGTGGTAACAATATCGATTGAGAGATGTTCGAAATGCATGATTGAAAAAAAATTAATGTTAAAATTTTTCATTACATCACAAAAAGATTGAAATTTAGAGTTCAAAAATTTTAATTTTAGTTAAAAAATTTGAATGAAGGTGGTTAAGATTGTCTGATAAGAATTGTTAAAAATAATATTTAAATTTTTAAGAGAAGACATTCATTTTCTATATAATATATAGTATTAAGGCTTTTTTATTACGATGAAAGTATATTTTTATTATGCAGATGGATTGTGATTGCTGCAAATTTACCGGGAAGAACAGATAATGAGATAAAGAATCATTGGCACACCAACTTGAAAAAGCGTTTAATAAAGAATAATAATTCAGACGCTAATGATGGAACAGGAAACTCCAAAGACACAAATTCAGATAACCCTGCAATGGAACAAGACAACACAGTTGAAGGAGTGTTAGAGAAAAATAGTGGCCCCAATATTACAAGTCCATTGTCTTCAATCCCATCTTCAAGTGGAACAATGGATACTCCAACAACCACAGAAATATCATATGAAAATTATGTTCTTGACGAGCTTCCTTTAATGGATGCATTTTTGAATGATAATTTCTGGACAGAACCATATATCATGGACGGTTCATATGTCCCTCCAAATGAAGAAACTACATTATTACCTATCTGGTGTGAAGATGAATACTTCAGTGCTATGTACGATGAACAACTTTGGAGCCATCAACAATAAATTGTTGCAGCAATGTGGGGATTTACTTTTTTTAATTTTAAATGCCGGCAGATAATAATAAAAACACATGATTACTACTTTGTCCTGTTTTTCCTATGCGGTGTAATGTCGTACTTTGAACAAATATTTGACATTATTTAGCGTATCTTTCTCTCTGCTGTATTTTTGTTGTTGATAACCATGTCATGTCAATGTCAATTTCTTTTTCACTATCACCTGGTCTTTATTTACAAAAATATATAATTTATTTGTAACTTTTATATATATTAAAGGAAGTGGACAAACCGTGTAAATAAATATTATGCAGACAATCAATCACAATCTTTAAATTGCTATGTCATATCAATTTTTTAATTGAATACATGTCTCTCATTGATTGAGAATGTAAAAATATTTTATATTGTCAGTATATTTTTTTTCTCATATATATATAAATTACGGACAATGTGATTTTAATAACAACTAGTAACAAACCCGTGCTATCGCACGGGTCTCGTCTGGATTCATATTACATTTATGGATTATTAAATTATTATGTATTCGCAATCTATTAAATTTGTAGCAAGCGTCGGTCCTATCAACAAATCACGTCTGCATGAACAAATAAGAAAAATTATATACTTCTTGAAATACATGGAAAATGTACATACTATATATTTTAATTCAAAATAGATTTTTAATTTGAATCGTAAAGTATAAGATATAAAGTTTACCAACTATCAAAGTGTTTGAAAGACTTTCTTGTACACAACATTAGTAGTAGTAGAACACGGTACATTCTCCTTGTCATGAATTAGAATTTTTAGCCCACTTTTGCTCTTAACTCTTGAAATTGCAACATATAATTGACCATGACTAAACGGAAGGATTGGATTCCATATAAAGTGGCTGGGGATCTGTGCGTAAAGCAGAAGGAATTAGTACATTACCATCGAGAACTTACAATATACATTGTGAATACCTTCTTAACTCAAACAAATGCGGTGAGCCTTGCGGCGTCGCCGCGGATCTGCACGCAAAGCGCAAGGATTGGAGTTCGTGTAAGATGGTTGTGGATCTGTGCGTAAAGTAGAATGAATTAGTACAGTACCATCGAGAACTTACGATATACATTGTGAATACCTTCTTAACTCAAACAAATGCGGTGAGTATGGCGGCGTCGCCGCGGATCTGCAGGCAAAGCGGAAGGATTGGAGTCCATATAAGGTGGCTGTGGATCTGTGTGTAAAGTAGAAGGAATTAGTACAGTACCATCGAGAACCTACGATATACATTGCGAATACCTTCTTAACTCAAACAATTGCAATGAGCGTGGCGGCGTCGCCGCGGATCTGTACGCAAAGCGGAGGATTGAAGTACGTGTAAGATGGCGGCGGGTCTGTGCACAACTCAGATGGAATAAGAGCAGTGGTTTTGTTTTCATATGTCCTTAGGCGTTTTTGTAATTTTGTTTTAAGGAGAGCGGACTCGTTCAATGGTTTTGATTTTAGATATATAACTATTAAAAAATCCGTGGTATCATATGGGTCTTGTCCGAATTACATATAATATAGAACTAACTTTGAATTGTAATAGATCATTCTTATATATTATTCAAATTTAAAATATTAAAATGATTTAACCAAAGTTCAATCAATTAGAGAAAAAAAATTAGTGTATCAAATTAATTTGCTTTCCATCGATAACATTAATGATAACAATATCGTATTTGAACTTTAGATATGAAGCAACCTGCTTTCCATTGATGTTTTCAACTCATTAGTCTGCATGATAATTTGTGCAAAAATCAGACACCAAATATGCAAATAATTTATAAACAAAAACATTTGTATTGTCGTGTACTTACCCATTAATAAAGCAATTGAAAAAC